AGTACACCTTGTTTTCGTTCTTTCTTCATAGTATTTATCACTATTTGTTGTTATATGTAAGTAGTTATTTGCTCAATGTTTGTTCCCTTCACAAGGGTGAACTTCACTAGGGCAGGGATTAGTTCTGTTCAGAGCAGGTTTCCAGTAAATACCAGTTGAATTAATCTATGAAAGAACTGCATTCATTCTATGCTACCTAAAGAGTCATAGTTAAAGTATCAGATATTCTCCTTTTAGTATTTTATCATCTAAATGTATAATTAATGTAATTATGTTTAAAATGGATTAAATAAACATATCCAGTGATTTTTATTTTATTTTATTTTATTTTTGAGTTGGAGTTTCACTCTGTCACCCAGACTGGAGTGCCCTGGCCACCGCAGCCTTGACCTGCTGGGCTCCGGTGATCCTTCCGCCTCAGCCTTCCAAGTAGCCGGAATTACAGGCATGCGCTATCACGCCCGGCTGATTTTTTGATTTATTGTAGAGATGAGGTCTTGCTGCCCAGGCGGGTCTCGAACCCGTGGGCTCAGGCAATCCACTCACCTCAGTCTCCCAAAGGCGCGGGATTATAGGCTGAGCCACCAAGCCCGGCTAGTGATTTTTAAATAATGTTCATTTACAAGGAATTCAACTTTAAGTAGAGAAGGGCCATGTTTGAAATCAATGTTTCCTTTGATTATATAACTTTCTAAGTCTTAAAAAAATTTAAAAAAATTTTATTATAAAGATGTGGGGTACAATTCAGGGTTAGGTATACAAACGTTGATTATGCAGGTTCCCTTGTTGATGAGGTGTGCTCCTCCCTCCCCTAGCAGTTTCTCTCAACTGCCAATCGCACCCCCACTTCCCTGCACAGTTTCCCATTACTGCCTTTCTTACAGTATTATAATTGCTTCTCACCTTCTGCCTTTCTTATAGTATTATAATTGTTCAATATGCAACAAACATACTTGTGCAGGTATCTCTTTTGTAGAATGATTTGAATTCCTCTGGGTATATTCCCAACAGGGGAATTGCTGGGTCATATGGAAGTGTAGTGGGAACACAGAGAGGCTGTGACACCGAGGCTGTTTTAGGAAGTAGCATATTTATTTATGCCAGCACAGACTCAGCGAGCTAATGCTCTAAGGTTGAGCACTCTGGGGAGAGAGAAGAGGGGTCTTATAACTAAGTTTAGGTAAGGGAGGGGGGTTCATGTTGAGAGATTACACATTTTCTTTGGAATTTACAAGGTTGTACTCAGCAAATCAGATTTTCAAAGAACAAATGGTCTCCAGGAAATGCAGAGCGAGTAGGGGTTGTAAACTGATAACTTCAAAAAGAGAGGATTTGGGTAAGTTTGTACATTGGTCACTCTTTTGCATTTCCATGAAAGTCGTCAGTCTTTGGCTATTTGGTTTTCTCAAACAAAACCGGTCTGGTGGGTTTTCATAGCTTGCCAATTGATTTTCAAAAGGAATACTTTTAACTGCTATCAGCCCCTTTTCTGCCACAGAAGGTCTAGTTCTTTCAGATACTGCTACAGTCTCCCAAAGAAGTTGCACTAGTTTGCATTCCCACCAGCAGTGTAGAAGCATTCCTTTTTCTCCACATCCTTGCCACTATCTGCTGTTGTTTGTTTACTTTTTAAGTCTTTAAAAAAATGATACTAGGAAAAATAAGCCGTTTAGGAATTGCAAGTTTAGATGGTTTGCTTGTCCCCACCAAACCTCCTACCGAAATTTGATCCACCATGTCGGAGGTAGGGCCTAATAGGAGATGTTTGGGCCTTGAGGGCAGATCCCTCATGAATAGATCAATTCCCTCCATGGGGTGGGGTGATGAGTGAGTTCTTACTAGTGCTCCAAAGAGAGCTAGTTGTTAAAAAGAGTCTGGCACCTTCCCCTCTCTTTCTGTCACCACGTGTCTCTGCACAATCAGTTCCACTTCACCTTCTGCCATAAGTGGAAGCAGTCTGAGACCCTCACCAGATGTGAATGCCCAGTCTTTAACTTTTCCAGACATTGGAATGTGAACCAACTAAAACTTTTTTAAAAGGAAATCATCCAGCCTTAGATATTTCTTTATAGCAACACCAAATGGACTAAGACGGGAGTATATAGTTCCCAATGACCTCTGTATATTTAAATAAGATATTAGATGATATTTACAGATCAGTTAGGCATTCTGTGAAGGAAAGCATTTGGTACTCAAGTGCTCTGAACCACGGGAAGTGCCAGTTAATCTAACAGGAATGAGAATAGATCATGTAAACATAAAGAATACAAAAACCCATGGTGGAATATGGCCTGGGGGTGGTGGTGGTCGTGGTGATGGTGGTAGGGGAGCGTGGGGGGGGTGGGGGGGGGTGGGGGGGTGGGGTGGGGCAATGTTCTGACTGTTGTGAAGAGTTGCTTGAAAACTACAGATACTTCCCTAGGTAAACTGGGTCCTTTTTTCAGGGAAGTGGGTTATTAAAGCTTCAGAGACTTGACCGAATTATAATAGAATCTAATCTTTACTATCCTCATGCTAATAAAATTAACATTAAAATATTGAGTGATTGAAGCACTTATGATCAATAATGGAGGCAGGCAGGGCCTGCTTCGGAAGGGCTTATTTGACTCATAAAACCCTACATGACACATTTTCAAGCTTTTGGAAGCTACACACGTTTATATTTAAATAGAAATCACTGAAAAGATGGCCAAGTACAAGACAAGGGACCATAAAGCACATTCAGAATCTCTGGGGAAGAACCCATGTATGGGCATTTTCAACAGTTTCCCATGGTGACTCGTGAAACCAGGCTGACAACCTGCAGGGCAGCTGAATATGAAATTAGGCACTAGATACTTCATACATTGGATAGGGTTGAATCTTCAATATCTCAATTTTTTCAAATGAAAAAAATGGTGTACTAAGAGATTATATGAACACTTATATTAGTACGAGTGCCACAATTTTATGAATCACTGATAGTCTAACTTACTTGGAAGCAACTACACAATCTGGAAACCTGGTGTTCAATCATGCTTCTTGGGTGGAAGAATGTAGATTTCAAGGGAAGAAGGTGGGAGATACGTATTGATATATAAATGGACTCATGTTTCCTTAAAACTAGAGGACTCCTCAGTAACACAGTCTGCCAGGCCCAGATTTATGGCCCTGTGACGATGGGATAAAGATGACAGATTCAGTCCCCATGTGGACTAGTTAGCAATTCTCTGTTTTGTGCCCATCATTTATATTCCTAAAGTATGACTGTCTCGCAAATGGGTACTCTTGTTCACAAAGTTGAGATGAAGAAATATGGTTGGATGAGGAAAAAACGGTCACCATTGGTGGAAGACCCCCAAAGTCCAGCCTGTACTGGTGGTCAGATCAGAGCATTGACTTTACATGTAAATTCAAGGTCAGTCCAATAAAGACAAGGCAGGCTTCAGTTGTTTGCCCCATTAGGCTTATGTTGTCTACCCAGCATTCACTGGCTTGTGGAGAGCATAAAAGGTAGAGCCAGAGAGAAAATCAGTATATGTGTGGTGGGGGTGTTGTAGTTCTTTCCATAGAAATGAGTCATGTGGCCATTTTCCGATTTCTTTTTCTCCAGATTCAGGATCTGGTGTTTGGGTTAGAAGAGAAAAATCCTGCGTATGTAGTGGAGTCCTAGGAGAAGAACTAGACCTGCCTTGACTGGACACGGTGGTGTATGTCTGTTATCATGCCAACACTTTAAGAGGCCAAGGCTGAAGGATCACTTGAACCTAGGAGTTTGAGACCAGCCAGGGCAACATAGCGATACCTTATCTCTACAATAGAATAAAAAAATTAGCCAGGGATGGTGGTGCACATCTGTCGTCCCAGCTACTTGGGAGACTGAGGTGGGAGTATCACCTGAGTCCAGGAGGTAGAGGCTGTCTGTGGTGAACTATGATTGCTGTGCCATTGCATTCCAGTCTGAGTGACTCAAAACAAAAACAAAAACAAAAACAAAACCCAAAAAGACTTGCATTGACCAGGGGAGAGAAGAAACAGAAAGCAAGCAGTTCCTTACACTAAATCATGCACATTTTATCTACTTCCACATAAATATAAGTTATATGGGTGTGGTTATACAACTTTAATGTGGATAAGATTCACTAACCTGTTAGCAGTGAGGTTTCTGGGTTTTATCCCAAAATCCCTTATGCAGAAAATCTAGAAGTGGAACTGAGAATCTGTAATTTCTTTAATTTAAACAAGCTCCCTTAAGTGAGACTGCCACATTCTTTGAGAAACAGTGGTCCAAACCACCCATTATCCTGCAGATATACCACTCTGTCATAGTTTAATTGAGGATATTAAAGTGTTTGTTCATCAAATTCTTCTTCATTAAGAAGCCATTTCTTTTCCCTTTGCTAAGTAATTTCCAATTTTAAAGAAAATTTCAAGTTCAATTTTCTTCCATCAAAAATGCTTTCTGACATCTAGTGAAAGAGCTACAAAGAACTAAATGTTCCTATTTACCAAGAATGTGAAGTGAGGGAACAATAGAGTCAGAATTCTCCGTTATGCCTAAAAATAGACATATTGTAGTGCTTTCCTTTATAACATTTGCTTTTGGAGAACCAGTATTTAATTTTGAATTTGATTTTACTGTGCCACTCTATGGTTTCTAATAAAATGTTTATTAACGGTAACTGGAATTATTTAAAGCAAAATATAAATTTTAAATATAAATGAGCTAGGCTTTTCAAAATGTTTGTTTTTCTTGTTTTCTGTTGAAGAAAATCAAAATATTTCACCCTTAAATATACATCTTTGCCATATTTCGGTATGGTTATTCAGAAGGGCAGAAAATACAAGAATAATTACCATGCTGTATTTTGTGTGGGAGATTTGCATCTGTAGAGAATCTGCATTGATTGTAGCCAGGCTTTTTCTGAGGTCCTCCCTGGTCTAGAGCTAGGAAAGACTAACTTTGTATCTTAAGTGAAGAAGTTTGAGAAAACTGAAGCAAAATCTCTCTGATCTTGCAGCCCTCCTCCATGAAGCAAGTCATATGACCCTCATGTGAAAGTTTTCTCATGTGGAAGGTGTCAGCCCTATGCCCACAGGAAAGGAACATCCTCATCTCTGAACACAGAAGAATTCGAACAAACAGGCTTTGCTAAGTTTCTCTCCAGTTTATTACCATTAGATCATTTCTCCCTTGTCCAATCCTACTTTTCCACGATTATCTACTTCATCAAACTGAGCATAAAAACCATAAGGTTACCCATTTCTTCAGGCCTTCATTCCTTACGAAGGTTTTCATGTTATGTAACACTTATTAAATACATGTGTAAGCTTTTCTTCTGTCAATCTGTCTTTGTCAATCTGATTATCAGACTGAACCAGGGACTCTCAGAGAGTCAAGGAAAATCTTTCCTCCTCTACATTCTCTTTCCTTTAAATCTTGTTTTTTATGAATGACTCTAAATCAACGAGCTCATGTGGTAAGGTATAAGCATCAACTAAATTCAGGGTGGTTAATGGGAACACATCACCCAGTCAAAATTGCAGATTACAAGTCTATGAATCAGGATGGTTTTCTTTATTTTCAGGGCATAAGAATAGAAGAGAGCATTCTATAGTGTTCTTTAGATACCATAAGAAAATTATTGAGGCAGACCAGAAGTCTTGTGTTGGGAGCCAGCCTTGGAGGCCCACCTGATTGAAGGGTCCTGGTGGGCCGAAGACCCCGGGCTGCAGGGCGAGCCTGGGAAGCTGAGACCCTTCTGTCTTCCACCTTTGCTGTTTGGTATGGTCGAAGAATTCTGTGCAGTCATGGAAGAAGAAAATGGCATGTTTAAGTGAAGTACTCACAGCTAATCTGGAAATGTCATGGTGCACTTTTCCATTTCCCACTATGCCGTTTGGCCTTTTCTAATATATGCAATAGTTAAACTCTGAAGCACATCAAGAATGCTTTCTTTCACTTGGCTATAAGTTACTAGATATTGCTTGAGTAATAAATGATGTAAGTATATTCACACCTTATTTGACTTTGAATTATGTAGTTTAGTGTTTAGACAAAAGATTTTTTAGAAGCACAAGTTTATAGTAAGTTCATTATGAATTCATTATAAGTTCTAACACTTATCTAGGAGTTATGTAGGTGATTTATAACACTGGTTTTACAGACTTAGGATGAAGATTAATCGTTAAGGTTTTTACTTAATTCAATAGTTAAAATTCGAAGTTAACATTTATAGAGTGGGCTTTCACTGAATTCATAATATACTAATTGGATACTTTTATGATAAATTAACTAAAGACAGAAAGCAACCTTGGGGGCCTGGGAAACATCACTAAAAGCTTCTTTTGAGTTCTCTTTAGAAATAAACACTGCAGGATAAGAGAAAAGTAATGAAGACACCTGGACAAGAGAGGCGATTACAAAGCTTTGAAGGTTGTAGAAGCCCCAGAGAGAAAAACTCCTGACACATGGAGAAATGTGCACTTGGCAACTTTCCTGAGACAGTTCAAGGACTGTAATTTGGGACTTTGAACTAAAACTATCATTTGTGGCTTTATGATAAAGACTCATTAAGTAAAAGTAGATAGTGTTCTTGGCTTGTTTGTCGCTTCTAGACCACTTGATGGTGGTAACTTTTAAAGCATATGTGTGTGAAGGAATTTTCTTTGTCTTGCCCCCTTTACAAATAGTATAAAAGCTTTCTGTTAACTAATAAAGAATGTCATCTGTTCAGCAAGCAGGTGTCCGAGTATATTATTTTCGTCTTTCGCCTCTTTGTCCCTCCTTCAGGAAACCCAAGACCCCGCAGGGGCAAGACCCCCGCAGTCTTGGTGCAAGTGAATGGTAGAATTAAAGGAGTAAATAAGAAAGGAGAGGGAAAATACTATTTGCAGAATCTTTCCAAATGTCAGCCTCTTCAAAAACCAAGATGCTAATTATTTACTGCATACAAGTGTCACCAAGGCAGAAAAAAAAGAAGTGGGTGTTTTGGGGGTTTGATTATTTCCTCTAAGCAGTGATTATATGCATCACACCTGATTCACTTACATGCTAATTAGAGCCTTTATCTTCACTGAAAAATCTACTTCCTTTGTTTAATTCAGTCAAAAGTCTGTTATGTAGGGAAACTGTAACTCCTCCTCATCACTGGAGAAACTTTCTTCACATGTAGGGAAAGACTATCAGTTTATACGTAAGCTAGCTTTTGAGTTGTCATACAGCATTTTTAGAAATAGATTTAATGGCACATGGAAATGGTTTGAGAACAAAACCTTCTAACTGCCAATATCACTTTTACAAACTTTACAAATCTGTGTACCTTTGATGTAGCTTTTAAATCACAGGGCCTCTTGTTGGCAATTCGCCCTGCTTGATCTCAGTCCCTGTCCCAAAAGACAACAGAATGTATTTTTCCACTTTAAACACAGAGGGATTTCCTTAGATAACCTCAAAACATAATTACCTGGTCCAGTCAAGCAATCTGAACTTACAGTCTTGTCATTCTCTCTGACCTAACTCCCTCTTTTTCCAATGTTTCAGAGGTCTTTCTATTTTCATTGTCTTTTGTATTTTCAATTATCTCTATTTTGCTTACTGTGGGAACTTCTTTTGAAAGTGATTGCTGGCTTTGCTCTCAATTTGGTTTGATTTAATAATTTGGTAACTTAAATGAAACCTAAGCTGGGCAGAAACAGAAAAGGAAGTTCATTTCACCCTAAAATATGGCGTTTTGCCTCAAGGTCACTCCCAAGCTACTTCTTCTCCTTGTTCAAAGTATCTATGGCAGGAAAGAGGAAGAATGTAATTAGACTTGGCCCAACCATTTTACAAATCACACTTGTTTCTTAGGTTTATTCACTTTCCAAAGAGAACTACTTACAAATCATTCTTGGCCAGGTGTGGTGGCTCATGCCTATAATCCCAGCCCTTTGGGAGGCTGAGTTGAGAGGATTGTCTGAGCTCACGGGTTCGAGACCAGCCTGGGCTACTTGGTGAGACATCATCTCTACAATTAAAAACAAAATTAGCCAGGCATGATGGCAACATGCCTGTAGATCACCTGAGCCCACCAGATCGAGGCTGCAGTGGCTGTGAATGTGCCACTGCCCTCCAGCCTGGGTGACAGAATGAAACTCCATCTTAAAAAACAAAACAAAACAAATCATTCTCTTGTTTCTCCCATGCATTCATTTTCCCAATCATTTGCTGCCCCTTCCCAATACCTGGTTGACAATAGGATACAGAATGCAAACTTCCATTCTTTCCGTAACCTCAAAATGGCATGTAAGTTTCTGGGAAGTTGGGTCTTCTTTCTGAAGGCTCCTGTGTGTACATGTTAAATAAACTTGTGTGCCTTTTCTCCAATTAACTAAATCTGTCTCAGGGCAGTGATTTTTTTTTTAGCAAACCTTTAGCTAAAGGTAACAGCTATTGCTCCCATAGTAGAATTCTCAACTCTGTTTTTCCTGGTATGGGTACAATCTAGGCTATGATAAAGTTTACACAAGAGAACAGTACAAAAGAAGAATCTGGAAGGATGGAGAGTAGTGGGCAAGGACATGAGGAAGCCACTGAATGAGGCTTGAGAAAGAGAAGGTTAAGCGGGTATTCCAAAAGCATGTTAAAGGCTGGTTTAGATTTAGTCATTGCTCTCTTGGTCTTAGTCTCCTCTGTGTAAAGACCTATAATAAAATATGATAAAGCTACTCTCTAACTGTGAAGTGCTAAGTAAAAATGGCATTATTACTAATCAACTTAGACAACGAAATTGAGTAAAAAATTATTCAGTTAATATAAGCATTTAATGCTATACATTTTTCTATAAGTATTGTTTAGCTGTGCTATTATAAGTTTTGATATGTTGTGTTTTTATTTTAATTCCATTTAAAGTGATTTTTATTTTTTCTATTTTTTAAAAAATTTTTTTGAGTTGGAGTCTCACTCGGTCGCCCAGACTGGAGTGCAGTGGCCACTCCCGGCCACCACAGCCTCGACCTGCTGGGCTCCAGCGATCCTTCCGCCTCAGCCTTCCGAGTAGCCGGAATTACAGGCATGCGCTACCACGCCCGGCTGATTTTTTGATTTATTGTAGAGATGAGGTCTCGCTGCCCAGGCTAAAGTGATTTTAAAATTTCCATTATTGATATGGAAATCCATTATTGTCTGTCCATATGTCACAACCCTTAAAGAAAGTTCCATAACATTCCAGTGGGCCTGCACATATTTACATTCCTGAGAATTAGTAAAAGAAAGAAAATTTCCTTGTGTCCTCTACATTCCCCATTAAGTCACTTCAAAGTACCCTTGACTCCCTGCAGACCGCTCATTCAACTGAGAGAAATAAATCCCCATTCACTCTTTTATCAGTGACCATAGATCTGAAAATATAGCATCCATGTAACCATAAGTCTTGTAATTTATATAACTTTTTGTGTGTTATAACTATTAATCAACAATATATTTTAGTGAATAATGTTTTACTTTGTAATAGGCTCTGTTAGCTCCCTTATGCTATGGCAAGCTTATTCAATTCTTCATTTTGGTGTTACTGATAACACTGTGAGCTACCTTTTGGTAGTCAGTGCCAGGAAATACAGATCATAAATGTTACTATTAACAAAATGTGGCTTGAGTTCTATATAATGCTCTGTCAGTCATGTGGTCAATGAATAGGTACCAGCAACCCTAAACTTATAAAAATGAACTGTGAAGCCTAAGGCATGAGCAGACTGGTTCCAAAAATGCCAGGAACCAGGTTCTGTCTCCCTGAATTACTGGCATCAAGAGATAGCAGCTGAGTGTTTAGTCAGACTGTAACATTATGACCCTTTTAAAAAAAACTGATAGGCTATTTTAGTATTGTGTTGTTTAAATTTAAGGTATTTGTGGATTTTGTTATCTGATTTAATTCCATTGCAGTCAGAGAATGCACTTTGCATGTTTTCAATTCTTTTACATTTGTTGAAATTTGTTTTATGGCCTACAATATAATCTATCTTGGTGAATGTTCCATGTCTACTTAAAAGTGTATATTCTACTGCTGCTAAGTGAAGGATTCTAAAAATGTCAGGTTTGGTTGATTGTGTCATTCAGTTTTAAATCCTTATTGATTTTCTGTCTATTTGTTTTATTAATTACTTAGAGAGAAGTGTTAAAGTTTTCAACGATAATTGTGTATTTGTTTGTATTTCCTTTTAGTCCTATTAGCTTTTGCTTCATGTATTTTGAAGATCTGTTAAGTGCATATAGATTTAAGATTGTTATGTCTTCTTGGTGAATCAATCACTTTAAATATTCCTCTGTATTGTTAATATTTTAGTTTTGAAGTTACTTTGTCAGATATATATATATATATCTGCTATATATATAGTCTACTATATATATTCTGCACTCATACACACATATATACATATACATACATACACACACCCACATATATATATGCTATAAATCTTCTCTTTATTCTTTTGAACCTAAGATGTCTGAACTTTGGATTTCAGCAGTTTGAATATGATGGGATCTATGTGGAAAAATTCTTTTTCTGTTTATATTCTTTGAGGTCTTATGAGGTTATTACAGTTTTGCTTTGATTCTTTCATTATATTTGGAAAATTCTCAACAATTAAATATTAAAATACTTCTGTTCTATTTTATCTTTCTTTTTGCATCTAAGATTTCAATTATACTATGTTCAATCATTTGATATTGTCCATCAGC